TAATGAAAACATTATTTGAATGCACTTTAACTAATGATATTTGCTAATAACTTAATATAGATTGTTGTATTTAAATGGATATGTGTGTGTATATATATATATATATATATATATATAATGAAAACTTCACACTTCAACTAATGATATTTGCTAATAACTTAACGAAAGCATAAAAAGCGTTTCGCTTGATTTGTCCAAATGCTGAAGTCTGTTTAATCAGCCATTAGCCTGAAGCGCGCGCAGCTGAAGATAATGAGTGTGTGATGTCATCGCCCACACTAACACAATTAATGCAAATTACTTAAGACTAGATGAGGATCAGCGATTAGCGCCGTTACTTGAAACAATATCTCTTCAAGCTTACTTTGCTTAATTTCAATACAATGCAGCTTTATTCAGCCTAGTGTGCAATTAAGTTCGTTTGATAAGTTAGTTGTGGGCGAGTAAGAAAGAGGCAAACGAAAAATAAGAATATATTAAAGAAAATAAAAATACATGGACCATGTGTTTTTTGTTTACAATACAAAAATGAAATAATGTTTCGGTTCCAAATATGTATAGAGCCTGAATAGGCCTACAAATCCATAATAATCAATTTATATCTATAAATACAAAAAAAAAAAAAAGTTATGAACAATAGTTTGTTCATGACTTCTGAGAAACCCAGCCTTGATTGATTGGCTCCTCGGTGATTTACTTCAGATTGGGCTCTGTTACGCATCGAGTTTGATTCATTTTAGCGAATCGGTTCACTCAGGCGGTTCATTTCAATGAACGGATTGAAAAACGATTCGCCTGTTTGTAAAAGTAAACTTTGCTAACCGTTTTCGCCATAATTTTACTCCCAAATAAGCTTATCCTCGACATTCCACCCAGTGGAGTCACTAGGGAATTTGGGCCCATTGCACAGAATTTGCTATGTGTGGCCCCCTCAAAATCACGTTCAGTTAAAGTCTGTGTGTATAGTCTATAGGCTACTAATTATGTGCCACTGTAAACCTAGAAAAACTAGAATTTAAATAAGTGTTGACAGCGTCATTGGTTGTAATATGTGAAAGTTGTAGTTTGTCGCTTTTCTGTTAATGTAGGCTATATGCAGAGTTTGGTGGAGAGATTCACAAACGCTTGCGAATCTGTTCAAACGAGTCGTTCAAAAGAATCGTTTCGCTCGCGAATCAAACTCCTCTACTCTCTCTCGCCCTCCTGCTTTCAGTCCAGTCATGAGTTTCCAGTAAGAAGAGGCGTGTGATGTGAAATGAACATCGTTGTACTTTTCTACATCATCTTGAAGGATTAATTTTACCATAACCGTCCGATTTAAACTCTATTGATGGATTTCCACTCTAAACTTTTTATCAAGTTCGGTCTATTATTTATAAGAACTGGATAAGAAAACCTGCGCACGTTACTACTCTTATGGGAACGGACTTTTAGTGAGGTAAGCAAGTTTCCCCAAACCTTTTCTTTCCAGAAGATGTAACTTAGACATTTTAAACTTTCACACAAGGTATTTTTGGTCTGTAGTGTATCTATAAAGTGCTACATGAATGTCAAAGAGAAGCTGAACCAGTAGAACCAGCTTGAGTTCCGCACAGCTGGAAAGTCTCCTCTGCTTTCTGGTTCCTCACAGAAAAACACCAGGAACCAGCAGGAATGGCAGGAATAAACAGCTCAAACATGAAAACTCTGGAGGATTTGACTCTGGACTCTGGCTATGGAGCAGGGGACTCGTGTAAGTCCTTAAGCCTATCGTCCTCCAAGTCAAACTCGCAGGCGTTCATGAACACCCCTCACAAGGGGAACTGGTGGTACTACTCCGGCTCCATGAACAGCAGGAACAACAGTTGGGATACAGTCAACACGGTGCTTCCAGAGGAACCAGAGGACATTTTCTCCAAGTTCCCACGCTTACCGGAGCTGGAGGAGTTCCCGTGGACGGAGGAGGACGTGGGGAGGGTCGTGCGTAAAGGCGCGGGGAAGGGCGCCTCGCTCTCCGCGGAGGCTGTGCGCAGACTGGCCACCCTGATGCGCAGGGCGCTGATCCGCATCTCCAGAGAGGCGCAGCGGCTCAGTGTCATGCACTGCAGATGCACCAGGTTCGAGGTCCAGAGCGCGATCCGTCTGGTGCTCAGCTGGGCGCTGGCGGATCACTGCGTCTCGGCCACTGTGAAGGCCATATCTATGTACAACATGAGCGCTGGAGAGCTCTTGCGCAAGGGGAAGTCAGCTCGGTGCGGGCTCGTGTTCTCCGTCGGACGGTTTTTCCGCTGGATGGTGGACACTCGGATCGCGGTGCGCATCCATGAGTACGCGGCCATCTGCCTGACCGCGTGTATGGAGGCTCTTGTGGAGGAGGTGGGCGTGCGCGTGCTGATGGCGGAGAAGGAAGGCGCGACGCCCGGCTGCGTCCTGACAGCAGAGGCGCTGGAGGGGGTCGTCAATAATGATGCCGAGCTTTGGGGGGTCCTGCAACACTATGAGCATCTCATCTGTGGGAAGAACGCCAATGGTAGGTACTTTACTGTTGTTCCTTGTACTTGTACGTCAGTTCCTTGTGGCCTAGTGGTTAGATTTGGCTGAAGGGTAGTTGAAACCACACAAGGGTTGATCCGTCACCATTGTGCACTTAGGCATGACACCACAAGTTGCTTCGAGGGGAGTATATATGTACTTAAATCACTTTGGAGAGAAGTGTCATTTTCTGCTAATTGTATTTGGACCATGCTTATTGATAACTATAAAATTAAAACAATAATGAAAAAGAAGAAACAGAAACAATTTTTTTATTTATAATAAAATTGATTTAAAACTATATTTAACATAAATGTTATTTTATTTCAGCTATTTTTTTTTGTTTAAGAAATACTAAAATAACTAAAAACTAAATACAAAATACAAAATAGACATAAAAAACTGTAATTAAAATAACAAAAACAAAATTACTAAAGCTTTAACTGAAATTAAAATGAAAACAGAACATATCTAAAAATTAAATTGAATTCAAAATATTACCAAAGTGTATAATAGTGTACTAAAACAGCTTATTTTATTCAAGCTAGTTGTCAAGGTAACATTTCTCATTTAAATTTAGTTTAAGCATTAAAATAACAAACTAAATAAATTAAAAAGTAAAACTATATAGACATATTTTAAAAACACTAATAAAATTGAAAAAAAACAAAACAATATTATTAAAACTTTAAAAGTAAAATGAAAACAGAAAATATAAACATTAAATAGAACATTTATTAACTAAAAATTATGGTAGCATATCAATGATATTAAAAGAGCTTTTTTATTTCAGCTAGCTAACTCAATATAATACGTCTCATTTTAATTTAGTTTAAGTTGACGTATTAAAATGAGCAAAACTAAATAAACGGACTGAAAAGTAAAACCATATGGGGAAAAAACGAATAAAGATTAAAAAAATAAATTACTTAAGTTAAAATGAAAACAGAAAATTCAGAATACGAACAGAATAAACAGAATTCAGAATAAGAAGAAAAACTATAATATTATATCAGTGATAATAAAATAACACTGATTTGGACACTTAAAAATTTATAAATATCTGTAAAATATCTACCTTTACCTAAGAATCTAAGTTCATTATTTTAAAGAGAGATAATCAAAATTTAATTGGGTTTAAGATTATACAATGATACATTAACTGGTTATGTGTTTATAAATGTTAGTGGAACATTAGTATTTATCGCTGTTAATGTGACGAACTACACCTGTGGTTACTCTCTGTGTGCGTGAGCTTGAGGGGAAATGACTTCATACATCCTTATCCTCATAAAATCCTGCCACACCACTTGATTATGACAAATTAGTAGCTTTGAAACTAGTTATGCATGATATGTTGGTCAAATACTGGCACGATGTTACAAAATTGCAATTTGGTGTGAATGATCTGTACTAAAATACTGAATCTGCAATCTGTTGGTAGACCCACACAAATGTTGATAGCTTCCTTATTAGTCGTCTTGGTGTTTGCTCTGAAAGATGAAAATGGAAATCAATTTCCAGAAATCACAGGTCAATCACGTCATTCTGCCTGTGACAGGTCATTACACGCTTCCTCTTCTCCAGCTGTGAGAATTACCCCTCTCTGCCAACTTCTGCATCATCTAGGTTGCATTTTCATTTTGATTTGTCTGTGGTTTATCTAACATCTATAGGTTTTCACAAACATTCACAAGCGCAAACCGATCTTAACTGATTGACCAGGCAAAGAGAACAAACAATATCTATAAAAACAACATGCGGTTCTGATGTAGTACTGTCCTGCTTTCGTCACCATTACTCATAATTTCTGTTTGCTCTGTCATGAAGACATTCAGGACAAATGCTTTGATTACTGTCATATGTTGGAGGCTGACATGAGAGTTTTGATATGCATATAACATAAACAAGATTTTTTACTTATTTGATGACCCATTAAAGGAAAATGGTAAGTTTGATTGCTTAGAAAAGTGTATTTCTTCAACAAACCTCACAATTTGAGGTATTTGTAGCAATGGTGCAGGTGAGTGAAAAGTCCAGCTACTGACATTAAAAAGACTTCCATGACAATACTGAGGCAGCGGAAAGACTTTATTAATTAAAATCAGAGGAGTGTGGGTACAATATTTAGGCTACGCTAACAAAAAGCTCTTTTTTGGTACGGGGTAGTCAGGATCTCAGCTCTGCATAATCCTTACACAGCTCACTTTCTCTGGGATGCCATGCAGGCATCAAAATTAGGTCGGTCCATAAAGACGACTCAGTGGATCAATGTGCTTTCAGGACGGTCGTGTTAACAAAGTGCTGCGCGTTCACTTCACAAAACCCTCGCGTGCCATTACTGTTGATGAATGGGCATCTGATCCACTGCGTTTCCTCTGTCAAGTGCAGGAGATTGAATCTGAAACGCCTTAAATGTGGCTCGTTTATGATTTCAGCCGTGACTCAGTGGCCTTTCAGAATGTACTTGATTACACAAAGCATCTCACAACCAGATTATTCATGACCTGCTTTTGCTGGCTGCTATTATTGTGCTTGAGAATGCCTTTTAAACAGCCTTGATTCCCATAGACCAGTACACTTGTCTTATAAGTTTGCATGTTTTTTTTTTTTGTGTTTTCTGATGCAGCAAGGATGTTGCTCAAGCACTTTCTTTAGGGCCTTTCGCACCGCGGGAAGCTTTTCATAGTACCAGAACTAATTGTGGAACTACCCACTTTTTGGCGTTTTCGCACCGCCGGAACTGGGTGTGATTTTAGTACCGGACTGCCTTTTTCGAGAACCAAATTAGCTCCTACTCCGGAGCAGGGTCTAACCAGCACAACTGGTACTAATCGTGACGTAAGTAGACATTGATTGGCCAAACGCGTATATAAAAAACGGACGCTGAAGTGCAGGCATTTGTAGCAAATATACCACTGCCAGTTGTCGTTGGAGATTCTTAGTCCTACTTTCCGTTCATTCAATCGCTTTACGTATACGTCGACTTTCCATGTCCATTATTGTGAAACCCGCGAGACACAACAAAAACACAGCTCCGATCACAGCGTCCTCCATCCTCCTGTTGTTAATGTTGTTCTTCTTTGTTTCTGTTGTTGAACGCCGCGCACAAATGACAACGCTGTCAACCGGCTTACGTCACTTCTTAGTACACACTCTCGGTACGAATGCAACCCTTTAAATGGTACTGGGAAATAGTACGCGCAAAATCGTCCCAGTACTTTAGTACTGTACATTTAGTTCTGGAACTAAAGCGGTGCGAAAGGCCCTTATATCTACTAGGAAGGTTTTAGTTCTAGGAACTAAATCAGCTCCGTTCGCGCAAAATCGTCCCAGTACTTTAGTACTGTACATTTAGTTCTGGAACTAAAGCGGTGCGAAAGGCCCTAATGTGGTCGTCTGTATGTGAAACGTTTCAAAAACACAAAGGAAAAACCTTTCCGTTTTTAGTACATTGAGATGCTAATTGATTTCAGCTAGGCTACAGAATGAATAAGTGCATGAAACATTGCTTCGAGTCCAGCTACTGACATTAAAAAGACTTCCATGACAATACTGAGGCAGCGGAAAGACTTTATTAATTAAAATCAGAGGAGTGTGGGTACAATATTTAGGCTACGCTAACAAAAAGCTCTTTTTTGGTACGGGTAGTCAGGATCTCAGCTCTGCATAATCCTTACACAGCTCACTTTCTCTGGGATGCCATGCAGGCATCAAAATTAGGTCGGTCCATAAAGACGACTCAGTGGATCAATGTGCTTTCAGGACGGTCGTGTTAACAAAGTGCTGCGCGTTCACTTCACAAAACCCTCGCGTGCCATTACTGTTGATGAATGGGCATCTGATCCACTGCGTTTCCTCTGTCAAGTGCAGGAGATTGAATCTGAAACGCCTTAAATGTGGCTCGTTTATGATTTCAGCCGTGACTCAGTGGCCTTTCAGAATGTACTTGATTACACAAAGCATCTCACAACCAGATTATTCATGACCTGCTTTTGCTGGCTGCTATTATTGTGCTTGAGAATGCCTTTTAAACAGCCTTGATTCCCATAGACCAGTACACTTGTCTTATAAGTTTGCATGTTTTTTTTTTTTCATTTTTGCATAAGTAGTCTGCAGGCCAGTGCACTTGTGTCTTGTGGAGGTTATTTTTATGCTTTGTGGATTTAGGATGGCAGTAACAGGGAAAACACCATCAGGCATGGTCAGTGGCACTGTTTATGCATGCTTCCAGCCAAAACCAAAGGCCCAGCTGTACGAGAAGCTCAGACTTCTCTGAGCTAGCGGCTAAAAACAGCACAAGTTTTATGATGGCTTAAAAACATTTCAAGGGCTACATTTCAAGAGAGCTCCTTAAAACAAGATGACTTCATTATCTAGTCACTAGCATTAGCTAAAACTTGTGAGCTCATGGAACCTCACACAGTAAGTGACTGAAATGAAACACCCTACATAGGCAGCATCTCTAAGTGTGAAACAAATATAGCACTCTTCAGTGTTGGGGGTAACGCATTGCAAGTTATGTAATCAGATTACTTCTTCAAGTAACTAGTAAAATAACGCATTACTTTTAAATTTACAACAAAATATCTGAGTTACTTTTTCAAATAAATAATGCAAGTTATTTTGTTTTCCCATGTATTCACTGACAGCTCTCCTGTCCCTGTGCTGAGAGAATTTGGGAGTGAGGTAGAGGCACTGCCTTCAGCCTGAGGCTCATTAATTTCACTTTTGGTTGAAAGGGCCTTTACAGTTGCCAAAAATATAACTTTTGGGTGAAAAAAAGTAATGCAAAAGTAACATGTTTTTGTTTTTTTGCATTATTACATTATGGAGTAATTTGCATTACTCCATAAAAAGTAACTAATTGTGTTGCTTTGTTACTTTTTATGGAGTAATGCAAATTACTTTTAAAAGTAACTTTCCCCAACACTGGCACTCTTCATGTGAAGTGCACTAGACAGTACAACTCACAATTGATTCCAGTAGAGTTTTATG